GAGAGCGGAGGAGCCGGGGCGGGAGAACCGGGGCGGGGACAGAGCTGGGCCGCGGGGAGCGGATTTTAGGGTCGGACCCTGCAGCGGGCCGTAACAAGCGTTCAAACACAGGCGCGGTAAGGCTCCTACGCTCGGGCAGCTTGAAAGGAAGGCTCCGGCAATCGCTGGTGAGGACGCAGACGTTATGAGTGCCGACCTTGGTCTGGTTTGCATTTAAACAGAACTGGTGATGACCTTGACTCCTCAAACCTGTAATACAGCCCCTCTGATCCTGTGAAATGCGCTACGATACAGCTCCCTTCTTGCACCTTGGGTCGCTATCTTAAGAGAAAAACCAAGTTTGGAACGTTCCTGTATTCATCATTGTTTATTCTTTTCCCTTAGTTAAAAACTAACAAATACTTGTAATTCATTACCAAATGGCTCAAGCCAACAGTTTCCCTCAGCTGAATCAAATGCCCATCTGTGCAATGCACCTACCTATATGGTCTTTAAAGAAATACATGCATTGTAAGAAAATAATTTGTCTGATATAAAACTGGATTTATGTTTACACAAGTCTTCCATTTCAACCCAGTTCTAGGTTTCTACATGAACAGGTGGCACATGAGACGATACTGGTAACGGTCACAACGCAGGATTTCAGGAAAAGCACAGATTTAGTTGGGAATTTACAATCCAAGGCAGCAAAACCCATACTTGAATCAAATCATTTTATCTAAGGTTAAAACGAAAACAATTCTTAAATTACTGGCTAGGAGGTAAATATTACCCCTATAACTTTTTTCTAAGAAAGCGGTATAGTTGTTAATTTTACTTTATTTACTAAGTGTGAACATTTTAAGATTAAGTAATAAATATAGAAATAGTGCAAACTCTTGTTTTCAGGAAAAACATAACTTGCATCCAAACAATTTGGAAGCATACTGCTGACTGCTACAATTTGTACGTTGCGTAAAATGCTAAATAAATAGCATTGTCTCATGGTGGGGGGTCAAGAGAGTCAGACAATATTGCTGCCTGCATAAACTCAGTTGCTCCGTTCCCTGCTGTGGGGAGATGGTCTGCTTTCCCACAGTGGACTCGCCCATACTTAGTGACAGAACTCTCTTTCCCATTTTATCAGATCAAAAATAATATGAACACCCTCTCTCACCAGCCAGTTTAGAACAGCATTTATCATGTGAAACTACACTGAGAACACCCAGAAGACAATGCAACAAAACAACTTTACAGAAAATTAAGAACTGTTGACAATTGGCACCAGTGTCCGTAACAAAGACGAAAAGTAGAGTTTGTATTTTAAAATAAGACCCGTCAGTTGTTGTGATGGGTAGCGCACTGACAGCACCAAAGTTCACAGGACGCAGGACTGGCACATTCGATCCTCAGCCGTTTCCTTGCGGGGCCACAGGAGGCAGGGCACAGCAGCAGCGGGTGCGCAACCCCATTTCACACAGCTTGTCAGACCTTAAACTTTGCAATACACATGCTCTTTCTGGGCACTGGAATTACAGAATTGAATTTTGGAGCACCACTATTTGCCTCTTAAGGAAGTCTTGGGAAACAACAACAAATTACACTCGCGAGTGCAGGTGATGATGACTTTCCTGCATGGTAAGTCCCCGTAACGACACAGCTGTGTCTAATGGGCACCGAAGGGGAGAGCTACTCTCTACCCCTCCTCCCCATGCCCTGCTGCACCGACCCTTCACTCCACACTCTCCCCTGGGACCCGTCTCACTTCACAATGATCCTGCTTAGCAATTCAAACCAGGACAAACCCTTTACCTACAAAAATCTAATTTCTGCCATTTCCCTTTTGCTAGAGATAACACACACCTGACTCCCGCCAGGCCGGCTCAGGCCACATAGGACCACAAAGCCCCTGCCGTAACTAAGGGATCTACAGCAGTACCTGGTACCATTCACCTTCTCCAGTTCCCATTTTAATAACAGACTCTCAAGGAAGAGGTTGGATTGCTTCTTTCTTCTTGTCTTTTTAAAAAGTAGGGGTTTTTTTTATGTTAAAGATGTTTAAGTCTACAATAATTCTAATCTTTTAAAAAAAAAAGTTATTTCACTTTAAAATAGGGTTGGGAGAAAAAAAGTAGCAAGACTAAAAGTTTACTGGTTCTTTTCAGCAACCTGCTAATCAGCTGGTATAGCAGTAACATTTCTGACTCGTGTTACAAAATAGCAACATAGATTAGAAAAACTAATCCATCAGTTGCTTCTCCAGTTTGAAAGAGGAGACAGTTATTTAATTTAGGTCACATTTCATCTATATTACTACTGATTTGGAGTTTATGTTTAATTTTGATGTTGTCAAGATCATCTAATGTACTGATAAGCAATCTTCAACCCATCTTTATTAATAACAAGTTTCACTGGCACCTTCAGAAATAGTGAAACAGAATTGCAAAGTAAAAGCCAATTCTAAAACATCTACAAATTTAATTTCCCATATTCTGCACTTGAGAAGTTTTTCCTCAAAGTCAGAAAAGTTAAAAAAAAATCTCTAGGTATGAACAAGATGTGATTAAAGTAAGTGGCCCATCGTTCCAGTAAAGAAACAGAACTGAAGTGCCTCATACACAGTTAATCCAGTGGAGATGATCTGGCTAGGACTGAAAGATGCATCCACCTTCAGCTACAAATCTCTGATACGTTCTTATATTCTTTTTGTGCTTATGCAGAGGTGAAATTGTAAGACTTTTAGTTTGGGGAGTAAAAACAATGTGATTTTATTTAGCTTGACTGATTTTGCTGTACTTGAAACAAGTTGTGAGAATGTGCTCTTGCTGCACCACAGATCACAGCCAGGGGAGATCTACAGCTCCAGCTTTGTCTTTCCACCACCAACCGTCAAGGGTGACACTCAGAGGGGAGAAGGGAAGAGACAGAGGAACAGGGTTCAGTGCCCAAGGAAGCACTTGGTCACACTGTCCTCTTCTGGACACATTCTTACTCCTTATGTCATGTAGACATTTTGTACACACCCATGTCCCCTCCAGTCAGTCAAAAGTTGGTATTGATTCACTTTTTCCCTGAAACATACAGTAACAAAAGATCCACAACCCCTTCTGGGAGTTTGGAACACAAAGCTCAGGATGCAATGCCTCCAATATTGACAAGGCAAGAAACAGAATGGAAAAGAAAATCATGTACCTTTCAAAGGTATTTTTAATATTTTTCTTTTAATAATGATGTACGATATACATCCAACAATGTCCAAGTGCCCTCTCTCTAGGCGTACAGTACACTTGCTGTACATCACTAAGGCACTCAGGCGGGAAGTAATTTTTGATAAATGCAATGGGAATGTTTCCACTACACAACATCAGTAATAAATTTCTGTAGCAGCTCTACCACAGGATTTAGCTTGTTTGATTTATGTGACAGCAAGTCGTACACGAACTCACTGGGAATTTGGCAAGTTTGTCATCACCAAATCACTTTCAAAGGCACTGATCATCTTTTCTTACCCCTAGCTGGGAATAGTCACATTTTTTCCACTGATTTTGAAATTGAACGTTCAAATTTTAGTGACACAGAGGAACCAACACTATCAATTCATTCCCTCAAAATAACAACCGCCTTCCGAAGGCCTGCATGCCCTCTACTTTTGAAACCTGTCTTTGTGTGCTAGCTGCTGCGCTGTCCCGTTTACATCTTCAGGACTCAAGGCTTAGAGTATTGTGCGTTACTCTTAAGTCCTACCTTACAGCAATTTTTCATCAAGAAAGTACCTTGCATGTAAATCAAGCAGTGGAAATAAATTAAACAAATGTAATTTGTTTATAAAAATATTTTCTTATAAATCTTTAAAGCTTATAAAAGCCAGAAAATACATTTAAAAGAATCTCTGAAACATTTCGTCCTTTGAGGTGTGGTTACAGTTCAGAAAGTGAGAAGAAACAAAGCCCACAAACACTTTACATTTATCTTCCCACAAGGAATGCCATAGTGCAACACACTTAACCTACAAGTCAAAATGCCTTTGACATCCTTCCCCGGGTCGACTCCTTGTGTCAGATCATTTCTGTTTGAAAATAAAGATTGGAACTTAGCTGACAATGCTGCTGTTTAGATAGACATGGCACAATTAGCTTTTCCATAGTTACTATATGGAAATTCAGATGTTGGTTATACCAGCAGCCATGACTTTGAAGCTAAAGCTCGGGGATATGTATGTAGTACATAGGTGCCATTTTTTAACAATCACTCTCTGAACTTACATTTTCATATTGGGAGGGCAAGTGGTATCACATACAAACATACCACCGTCCCAGCCACCCATTTTTTCAGTGATGTGGTATTTAAAAATACCTATATTCCTGTTTATTGATTATGGGATACATCTTTGTAATAAAACTAAAATGACCTTGCTAGTCCATCCAATATTTAAATTGCATCAATTGGTCCTCTTGCACTTCCACGAAGACTGTCCTTCGTCCTGCAGCTTTTTAAATTTTGGCCCAAGTAGGAACCACCAGCCAAATCCCAGAATGACACAAATGACGGATTCCACGTAGTAACCATCGAAGGTAGTAACACAGGAACCACCAGCTTTTGTGCAGAGCTGAAAAAGAGAAGCAGAAGTTGATGCATTAAGTATTCTCTGGGAGATAGAGAAACACAGACTTTTAGAAAGTAGGCATTAGATATACACTGTTTTTTACTTGCTCTTGGTTATGACTAAATATATTTACTCTTCCTTGTTTCTTATGGAGTTAGTAAGAGAGGCTTTTGAGCTTACCATCAGTATGAAAAGTAATGAAACTGTTATAAAACATTTGGGAAATGGAACGTATTGGCCCAAGGGGCTAACTCTAGAAAACAGAAACTGTCCAGCTGTCTCATGCTGGCCCGGAGGTGCAATCACTGTTCTTAATCCCATGAAGAAAGATTTTTTCTCTTCCCAGCCATCCAAAATGCTTCTTTAGAAATTATATCCTTGCATCTCACCACACTGAATCTGCAAATGGACAGTACAAAATGCTGTGTATTTCTGGGAATGTTTTTTAATTGCAGAACTGGAAGACAAGAACTCCAGCATTTAAAGGGTAAGTGTATAACACACAATTGTTTCTGCTATTGCTCAGCTTTCAATACTGCTATAATCCCAAGATAAATCAATCCTCTGAGTTGAGGTTCTGCCAGCATTTTCATTATTCTGAGACATACCAAGACCAGATTAGGAATAAGAAGGGAGTGGTGGTGGAACATTACCAACAGGGAGGATGTGAAAAAAAGATCAGAGGAGTGAGGTGAAGGAGGAAGGACTTAAGTTCATAGAATCATAGAATCATTAAGGTTGGAAAAGACCTCTAAGATCACTGAGTCCAACCATCAACCCAACACCACCATGCCCACTAAACCATGTCCCTAAGCGCCTCATCTACACGTCTTTTAAATACTTCCAGGGATGGTGACTCAACCACTTCCCTGGGCAGCCGGTTCCAATGTTTAACCACTCTTTCAGCAAAGACATTTTTCCTCACATCCAATCTAAACCTCCCCTGGCGCAACTTGAGGCCATTTCCTCTCGTCCTTTCGCCAGTTACTTGGGAGAAGAGACCGACACCCACCTCGCTACAACCTCCTTTCAGGTAGTTGTAGAGTTCAGTAGAGGCCCAGGCACAGGGAACCTAATTAGTGGCAAGCCAATGAGAGACAGGCTGAAAAAGCACACACTGCGGAAGCAGTTTCCCCTCTGCAACTAGTAAAAACTGCAACTCCAGTTCAAACAAGTCAGGTTTGACTCCTAGAACACTTTGATTATTTAGAGAATCTCCACATCCCAAAGAGTCCCGGCATTCAAGAGTGAAATATATCTCAGTCATGAGTACGGGGAAAAAAAAAAACCACCAAAAACCCCCCAAACATTTCCACCCTTCCAAACAGTCGTGTTAAAACTTCTCATTTGCTCATGAGGAGATGAATTTGAAACCTTGCTTTCCAGGCAGTTTTGTGTCCTGTTGTTTGATCTGTGTACAGTAGCACAGCACGTTCTTTGTTCTCTGCCACAGGGCTCCCTAGAACTGGGAAGGCAGCCAGTCACACCGCTCAATTTCACATGGAAAGTGAAGATCAAAGACAGAGAGCAAAGTAACATCACAGAAGAAAGTATCAAGGAATCCAGATAGGAAGCCTGCAGAAAGACAGAAGGAACAAAAACCTACCACAAAACTTAAGGGACTTGAGGGACAGACAGCCTGCCAAGAAGAGAGCGCCTAATTACACAACTCTGAACTTAGCAAGGTTTACTCTCAAAAATGTAACCACAGCCTCCTTACACTGCAGAGAATGCGGCACCAATCTAGTGCTTCTACCACCAGCTTTTCATCTCATTCCTTGGTGCATCCAAGGAATGGACAACTACTCTGCAACTGCAAATCTTTACCAAAGATGTTAGTTATTAAGATAAAAGCAGACTTAATTTTATCAGACAGGAAAATTAGCTCAATTAGTGGGAAATTTTAAGCATAAGCTATGGACTATGAAGGTTTTCAAAGGTGAAAACAATACTAAGAGAAGCCATTTCATCAATAAATAATTGAACAGAGACCTTCACAGCCTCCAAAACTTACTTCTGCAGCAACTGGCGTTCCACAGGTCTGTTCCTGAGCCCCTGCACACCCTTTCACCGTGAGTGGGTCCACAAGCCAGAGGGCAACGGTGGAAGGCCAGTTTCCTCCCAGATTCGACACAGTATTTAGGAGTGTCATGTAGGTTCCTCCAATCAGCGGATCGCTGACTTTGGCGTTGAAAGCCATTATTGCAACATACATGCTATACAGCGTGATCTATAGAAGACGTAAGAAAACCCACAGGACAGTAAGGCCTCCCCAGTTACAGACAATGACAACTAAAAGCCCTAACATAAAAACCGTTCTAAGAGATTACTTGAAGTTAGCAACATTGACTGAAAAATAATCCCAACAGGTTAAAATTGTACAAGAGTGAAATTACTTCTGCAGTCTGTCTCTACTAACACCAAGAAGTAACCTTGCCACTTGTCTCCAGTCATGCTCAAATGGACCCAGCCTCACATGCATTGGAATGACTCAGGTTATCAAACTGAAGTATGTAAGGCCAGATAAAATAGCATATAAAAATAACACTTTTGCATTTAAAATCAAGTCTCAAGGCATTGCATACTTTTTAGTTCTGATCCAAAGCCCAGTTGGTATCAGGCATTTGTTTTCCAGGCCTTTGGATCAGATCCATTAGGACGTTCCTCCAAAACCAATAAAGTATTTTTTCTAGGACCAGGATCACATAACTTTATGGATCTGCACAATAAGCACAATCATCATGCCTACGAAACACAGTCAGAATGCTGGGATTTCTCCAACTCCACCATGCTGTTGAGCTGCTGGTTTTGAAGAAAAAAAATCTGGGAAACAAAAGCAGATCTGGTCGACTAAAAAGTAACTTCATAGAAGATGTTCAACAGAGCACATGGAAGAGGGAGAAATAATATTGGCAAGAGTATCAAAAGTAAATATAGCCATAAAGCCCAACAGGTCAGACTTAGAGGAATTCTAGTGCAACTAAGGACAAAAGCAGATAACAGCATTTATAGTCCTCTCCTTGATTGATATGAAATACCCTCCTGTCCCCCTCCCCTTCGCACATATAGTATATGTTACCTGATGTAAAGCATAACTCAACAATACTACAATATAGTAGTAGACAGGAAATCCTCCTTCCTGTTTTACTTTAGGAGTCCACCATACCAAAAAAGCAAATTCCAGACCAAGCAGTAATCTGGAGGAATAAGAAAGATCATTTGTAATTCAAGTAATTCTCCCCATGTGTCTCCTTGATACAAAGCAACTATTGAACATTTATACATACAGAATACATTAAAATAGTTTATATGTAAATTGTTAAAAGTATTTCTATCTTAGCTAGAATTAGATATTAAATATTTGACAAGCACTGAAATTGTAAACATTTTATACCTAAACAATTCTGTCTTGCACATAAACATAATTCACTACCAGATCTCCTATACTAGCTTTCTCCCCTGCCCCTTCAAACAGAAATTTATTTTTTGTAGAAAGCAACGCACAAGGTATCTAACCAAACTCAGCTGGAGCAAGATCTACTCTTTTTTTTTTTTGTGAAAACATACATAGTTGCATAAGAACACGTTAAAGTAACGGCTACCTGTTACAGATATGTCACATGATTTATTGAGCAACAGCATTAGGTAATTTGCTGGATTCACTGGTTTTAGAATTCCATAAGCAAACTCCTATATAAAACACTTAATACAGAAATGAAACATCTCCTTGTCTGCATCAAAATAATTCAGCTTCTTTTACTCCGTTACCTCAGTAAAGCATACATCCAGTAGATGCACCAAATGACTTGTCAATGTGTTCTGCCACTCTTACACTGGGAAGCACATGTAATTTTACAGATACAGTCCCGGATCTAGTCAGAATGATTCATGAATAAGGAACTATTGACACTGGAGCAGGAGTACTGCTCTAATGCTGGAGCAGGAGTACTGCTCTATTGCTCTTTTATATGCATCTTAAAAACACTTCAGGTTCTGCTTTCTTACGTGTGTTACTACATGAATCATCTTCAAGGCACAAGACAGAGACAGTTCAACTTACTATGAGAATTCTGACATACTTTCTTGTATCTGTAAGAGTTACACAAGAAATCCTATACTTGATCTGAATACGCAAGTTACTATGTTTTTGTCAAACAAGATTTGTTTGTTTTTACCTAAAAGGCATAGCTTTGTAAAACGTGTTCAGTGGCTGGGGGCCTGCTGTGTATTTGCTGATAATCAGAGGCAATATTATCTGTAAAGGAACCATTGGAACCGCTAGCAGAGCTAAGTGCTCTTTTGGGACGCCCTCTTCCACCAGTTTGAGTCCTGTTACAGCATCTGCTGCTGAAAATCCAACCTGCAATATAAGTTAGACAAAATAAACTGGGGAAAGCAGTGATATTTTGGCTAGAAATTCAGTTTACTCCGTATTAAGTAAATTGAGAAATGTGACAGAGTACAATTCACTTTTGTCTCTCACTTGATTTCCTAATCCTTTCTGAAACACGTTCTACAGTTGCACACTATTCTTGTCATCAGTGCCACAACTATACCAAGAACATTAAACACAGCAATGATATTCATGCTCATGCCTTAATTGCTGTCGGTATCCACGAAGGCCAACAAGAAGCCGTGGAAACCTAGTTTGTAGGGAGTTGCAGATTCTGAGAATAGCATTTAGGTTAAAAGAAACATTTGCTGTACTTTTAATTGCAGACTACACAAACAGCCTGTTTAAAAATGTTTAAAAACAGATTACTTTAATACTAGATTGCAATCAAACTTCTCTTTAATGCTTGTGTAAACACTTACAAAAGCTCAAACAAGTGTTTTCTGTTGTACAACCTTACTTAGCACAAAGATACAAGCTATTTTGTTCCAAATTTCATGTGAAAATTTGGAACTCTGATGACAACCGCTAGCAAAACTAAGAAATAAGTTACACCACAGGGACTCAGAAACCTTTCAGACACTCATATCATCAGTATCTAACAATTCATATATGTATTTACTTACTTTTGCTGTGAGAATCAAGAGACAGAAAGTAAGAACTGCCGGCATCTTGATTATTGAGAATAGCAGCCTGTATGTATCAGTGATGCCTTTTGTTTCTTCTTTTGTTGGTGTTAGTTCCTTGTTTTCCTTTTTCAAAAGGGCAACCAGTGTAGTGGTAATTAAAAAGACAGCGCCCCAGAAAAACAGGAAATCTAGAGGGAAAAAAATTTTAAAAAATCTTTCTAGCAGCCACCATCAACACTTCATTAACAATTCACCGAGTATCTAAAATGCAGTTATTTTGCAACAATATAAACCTAATAATAAAAAATTGCATAAAAACATCATTGACCCCCCTAAAAACGAGCAACAAAAGCAAACCACAAACACACAGCTACATACAGTAACTGACATAGCTCTTCCCTGCCCCTCACTCTGTAACTACATGTTTGCTTGTGATCTGAGACAGAAGCGCAGCAGCAAACCGGATCACTTCCCCGGTGTTCTGTGTATTATTACCACAATGAGCATGTTGGAGGAGAAACAGAAATAAAAATTAAAATGTTGAAGGGTTACACACACAGTCACCAAAAGCTGGAGGAAAAAACACATTTAATAGTTAGAAGACGGGGAAAAAACTTCAGAGGAAGAAGTCATTCACAACTCTCCAGTTGATTCACTGTGCAGTCATGTAACTATTCTGTGCCTCAATTCTATACTCCCTATATAATATCTATCTACCATCCGAAGGAAACAAAGATTTGTACTTATGAGTGTAAAGATGTCCTGATGAAAGCTCTTACGCAGTCGTCAAGTAAAGAGTCACTCAAATATGTCTGTTTTAAGTTGCTATTATACTTGCTAACTCTTAAGTGCTCTATTTTAAGCAGATATAATATTTGCTAAATTGTGGATTTGAAGGCAGCAATAGTAAAAACACACCAATATTTTACAGCAAGTACTTTTTGAGTTAGTGAATGGATTAATCTAAGATAATCCTATCCTCTACCTTTACGAAAGAGGCAAGAAAAGACTCAGTAACATGCAGAGGGTAAGACAGAAGTAGCCTTTTATCTTCCTGGTCATGAGCAACTCCAGGAGCCTCATGTGACTTGAAAGTAAGCAGCGAGGGCTGGTGAAAGGGCAAAGACATTGCGAAGGTTTAGGCAATTATTAGTTGCTTCTTGTGCACAGGAAGAGAACAAGCACAACAAGCATGGAAGAAAACATTAAAAGACCACTTTAGCTATATCCTAGCACTCTCAGTGTAAAAGAATAAAAGGCATTTCAAACCATTTTCTGCTGCTTCCACATCAGTTGCTTTTACCTTTCCTAAAGAAAAGGAGAGAAGATCTCATAACCAAGGCTGTCAGATTGCTCTCTCCTCTGTTAAAAAATACATGTTCAGGGTACCTTTTTTAAGTAAAAGATGAGTTTTCAGAGAGTCATGCTAATCACAGCTACTGTCTACAAAAGACATACAGGAGTGGTACTCTAACAATAGCACTAAGCATTATCACCGCAGTGAGAGACCTACAGTGCGAGGATGGGAATAGAAATAGCTTTGAGCATCATCACGTGAATACTCCTGATCAGGTCAGCCCTGTCAGCTGCAATACAGCAATGGCTGGATTAGAAAAAAAAAAAAGCAGCTATATAGACCACTAACAGGCTACAAGCAAAAGAACTTCAAAGTTCTAGCATAAAGTTTCTGGTGCCACCAGTGCTGCCTGGCCCCATCCCTATTTTGTCTCTGTCTCTATGCTATTACTAGCAAAATAAACCATTGTGTTGGGGCAAAGCAAACTTTTGAACTACAGCAGGGACAGACCAGGCTTGAAAATAACCATCAATGAGGTGTGCATGGCGGGACAGGTGTTTCATCACAACAGCTTTAAGTAATTCTAAAGCTACACATCTCTTCCCAGGAAAAAGGGCACGCCACAGTCACTGGCCCAGGTAAGTTTGGGCTACCTTGAAGGGGCACCTGCTTCCTGCACTTGCGCTTTACTTCTCTTCCTTCACGTTGGGACAGACATACATGCAACTGCATGGCAAACAATTAATGCTGTTGCTTGTCAACAACTTGAAGTTGACTTGGGATCTTGAAGTGTTGACTTGTTTTTATACCTAAACAATTCTGTCTTGCACATAAACATAATTCACTACCAGATCTCCTATACTAGCTTTCTCCCCTGCCCCTTCAAACAGAAATTTATTTTTTGTAGAAAGCAACGCACAAGGTATCTAACCAAACTCAGCTGGAGCAAGATCTACTCTTTTTTTTTTTTGTGAAAACATACATAGTTGCATAAGAACACGTTAAAGTAACGGCTACCTGTTACAGATATGTCACATGATTTATTGAGCAACAGCATTAGGTAATTTGCTGGATTCACTGGTTTTAGAATTCCATAAGCAAACTCCTATATAAAACACTTAATACAGAAATGAAACATCTCCTTGTCTGCATCAAAATAATTCAGCTTCTTTTACTCCGTTACCTCAGTAAAGCATACATCCAGTAGATGCACCAAATGACTTGTCAATGTGTTCTGCCACTCTTACACTGGGAAGCACATGTAATTTTACAGATACAGTCCCGGATCTAGTCAGAATGATTCATGAATAAGGAACTATTGACACTGGAGCAGGAGTACTGCTCTAATGCTGTTGTATATGCATCTTAAAAACACTTCAGGTTCTGCTTTCTTACGTGTGTTACTACATGAATCATCTTCAAGGCACAAGACAGAGACAGTTCAACTTACTATGAGAATTCTGACATACTTTCTTGTATCTGTAAGAGTTACACAAGAAATCCTATACTTGATCTGAATACGCAAGTTACTATGTTTTTGTCAAACAAGATTTGTTTGTTTTTACCTAAAAGGCATAGCTTTGTAAAACGTGTTCAGTGGCTGGGGGCCTGCTGTGTATTTGCTGATAATCAGAGGCAATATTATCTGTAAAGGAACCATTGGAACCGCTAGCAGAGCTAAGTGCTCTTTTGGGACGCCCTCTTCCACCAGTTTGAGTCCTGTTACAGCATCTGCTGCTGAAAATCCAACCTGCAATATAAGTTAGACAAAATAAACTGGGGAAAGCAGTGATATTTTGGCTAGAAATTCAGTTTACTCCGTATTAAGTAAATTGAGAAACGTGACAGAGTACAATTCACTTTTGTCTCTCACTTGATTTCCTAATCCTTTCTGAAACACGTTCTACAGTTGCACACTATTCTTGTCATCAGTGCCACAACTATACCAAGAACATTAAACACAGCAATGATATTCATGCTCATGCCTTAATTGCTGTCGGTATCCACGAAGGCCAACAAGAAGCCGTGGAAACCTAGTTTGTAGGGAGTTGCAGATTCTGAGAATAGCATTTAGGTTAAAAGAAACATTTGCTGTACTTTTAATTGCAGACTACACAAACAGCCTGTTTAAAAATGTTTAAAAACAGATTACTTTAATACTAGATTGCAATCAAACTTCTCTTTAATGCTTGTGTAAACACTTACAAAAGCTCAAACAAGTGTTTTCTGTTGTACAACCTTACTTAGCACAAAGATACAAGCTATTTTGTTCCAAATTTCATGTGAAAATTTGGAACTCTGATGACAACCGCTAGCAAAACTAAGAAATAAGTTACACCACAGGGACTCAGAAACCTTTCAGACACTCATATCATCAGTATCTAACAATTCATATATGTATTTACTTACTTTTGCTGTGAGAATCAAGAGACAGAAAGTAAGAACTGCCGGCATCTTGATTATTGAGAATAGCAGCCTGTATGTATCAGTGATGCCTTTTGTTTCTTCTTTTGTTGGTGTTAGTTCCTTGTTTTCCTTTTTCAAAAGGGCAACCAGTGTAGTGGTAATTAAAAAGACAGCGCCCCAGAAAAACAGGAAATCTAGAGGGAAAAAAATTTTAAAAAATCTTTCTAGCAGCCACCATCAACACTTCATTAACAATTCACCGAGTATCTAAAATGCAGTTATTTTGCAACAATATAAACCTAATAATAAAAAATTGCATAAAAACATCATTGACCCCCCTAAAAACGAGCAACAAAAGCAAACCACAAACACACAGCTACATACAGTAACTGACATAGCTCTTCCCTGCCCCTCACTCTGTAACTACATGTTTGCTTGTGATCTGAGACAGAAGCGCAGCAGCAAACCGGATCACTTCCCCGGTGTTCTGTGTATTATTACCACAATGAGCATGTTGGAGGAGAAACAGAAATAAAAATTAAAATGTTGAAGGGTTACACACACAGTCACCAAAAGCTGGAGGAAAAAACACATTTAATAGTTAGAAGACGGGGAAAAAACTTCAGAGGAAGAAGTCATTCACAACTCTCCAGTTGATTCACTGTGCAGTCATGTAACTATTCTGTGCCTCAATTCTATACTCCCTATATAATATCTATCTACCATCCGAAGGAAACAAAGATTTGTACTTATGAGTGTAAAGATGTCCTGATGAAAGCTCTTACGCAGTCGTCAAGTAAAGAGTCACTCAAATATGTCTGTTTTAAGTTGCTATTATACTTGCTAACTCTTAAGTGCTCTATTTTAAGCAGATATAATATTTGCTAAATTGTGGATTTGAAGGCAGCAATAGTAAAAACACACCAATATTTTACAGCAAGTACTTTTTGAGTTAGTGAATGGATTAATCTAAGATAATCCTATCCTCTACCTTTACGAAAGAGGCAAGAAAAGACTCAGTAACATGCAGAGGGTAAGACAGAAGTAGCCTTTTATCTTCCTGGTCATGAGCAACTCCAGGAGCCTCATGTGACTTGAAAGTAAGCAGCGAGGGCTGGTGAAAGGGCAAAGACATTGCGAAGGTTTAGGCAATTATTAGTTGCTTCTTGTGCACAGGAAGAGAACAAGCACAACAAGCATGGAAGAAAACATTAAAAGACCACTTTAGCTATATCCTAGCACTCTCAGTGTAAAAGAATAAAAGGCATTTCAAACCATTTTCTGCTGCTTCCACATCAGTTGCTTTTACCTTTCCTAAAGAAAAGGAGAGAAGATCTCATAACCAAGGCTGTCAGATTGCTCTCTCCTCTGTTAAAAAATACATGTTCAGGGTACCTTTTTTAAGTAAAAGATGAGTTTTCAGAGAGTCATGCTAATCACAGCTACTGTCTACAAAAGACATACAGGAGTGGTACTCTAACAATAGCACTAAGCATTATCACCGCAGTGAGAGACCTACAGTGCGAGGATGGGAATAGAAATAGCTTTGAGCATCATCACGTGAATACTCCTGATCAGGTCAGCCCTGTCAGCTGCAATACAGCAATGGCTGGATTAGAAAAAAAAAAAAGCAGCTATATAGACCACTAACAGGCTACAAGCAAAAGAACTTCAAAGTTCTAGCATAAAGTTTCTGGTGCCACCAGTGCTGCCTGGCCCCATCCCTATTTTGTCTCTGTCTCTATGCTATTACTAGCAAAATAAACCATTGTGTTGGGGCAAAGCAAACTTTTGAACTACAGCAGGGACAGACCAGGCTTGAAAATAACCATCAATGAGGTGTGCATGGCGGGACAGGTGTTTCATCACAACAGCTTTAAGTAATTCTAAAGCTACACATCTCTTCCCAGGAAAAAGGGCACGCCACAGTCACTGGCCCAGGTAAGTTTGGGCTGCCTTGAAGGGGCACCTGCTTCCTGCACTTGCGCTTTACTTCTCTTCCTTCACGTTGGGACAGACATACATGCAACTGCATGGCAAACAATTAATGCTGTTGCTTGTCAACAACTTGAAGTTGACTTGGGATCTTGAAGTGTTGACTCCTAGCATTGGCGCTCAGCTATGACAAAAGCATTCAGAGATCTGAACTGGTAGAAAACTATTCACCTTTTCAAACTGTAAAGTTTTCTGCTGCTTTAACTGCCCAAACCGGCCCACCATGAGCCCCATTACAACCAGCGCTAGGACCAGAGAGCCACTCCCCTCAGTTCAGTGAGCAGGTTTACAATACTGCTGTACAGCTGCCTCAAGAGAAACGTGGACACAGCAAATTGTGACATACAGTCACATGAACAAGGGAACAGAAATTTCTTGCGGCCAGTTTTACCACCCAAAAAAACATATCCTGCAACTATAGTGTCAAAGCTATTTGCTTTTCTTACTCCACCCAGGTTAGTACTCTAGGACAAGTTAAACAGGTTGCATTGGTGTTTTTTGGTTTTGGGATAAATCACACACACACCCCCCAAAGACAGCACTCTTGTAATAGTAACAAAGCCATTTATACAAACAGTACTGAGAAAAAAACAAGACAACAAAAAACCTGGATAGTGGAGGTAAGTACAGCCAAACCAAGCTCTCTTAACTACACTAGTGATTTGCAAGTTGCATCAGCACTAAAAGACATCAGTCTGCCACGGGAGCAAGAGGGAAGAGACACACCAGCACTGACGAACTACACAGTAAGGGAGAACAAAGGAAAGCAATAAACCAGCAGGGTTACTTTGAGGACTACTCTATGCTTGTTGACATATAGACCAGACATAGGGTTATCAACAGGAAGGAAAGAGAAGGACTAGTCAGCAGTCGTGATAGCTGCGCAGACAAAATAAGTACAGCAGTCTTGGAAACTGATATCCTAATTTATCATTGAGATAGGTACAGGATAGAAAGTGAAAACTAGCCTTTAAACAACAATTCAACTCAGTTTTGGCATACCTTTTCTCTTACATGATATAGGCAGAGCAATCAATGTAAGAGAGGGAAAAGAAACTAAAACCATGAGAATTTACTCTTCATTGCTAGCCATGGTCACTTTGAGACGGCAACCACAAGTGGTGCCAGTTTTTCCTGTCCTCCCATAAGCTGAGCTGGCTAAACTCAACCTTGCAAACAAAACATGCATTTTAAGCATCTTCTGGGTAATACACCTAACATCAACCACCACACACAACCTTTCTGAAAAAAACCCAAACAACCCAAAAACCACCAAACAGAAGACAACCCTACACTAACAGCTAGTTAGGGTTGGATTACCAGACTCCATTTAATTTATTAAAGAGAAAACAAAATCCCCCTTAATTTACTACAATAAGGCCTTCCTTCAGAAATTGGCTATGTGGTCAACCCTGAACGCTTGTCATTTCTACTGCTGTGAACAACACCATCTCGGAAGAATCAATTTTTTTTTTTTTTTATTTCCCCTTTCCTTCCTCCCAGATGTTCTTAAAAGACCTCTTTAAAAAGAGGCAAAGCTTTTGGGGTTTTTGGGCTTTTTAAAACAATAATCTATTCCATTGTCAATAAACTAGGGGGGGGGTGGGAATTGTCTCCAAAGTGCTTAAGTCAGCCAAGATAATGACAAGGCAGGTTTCCCACACTGTTAAGCCCAGAGAAGCTGGAAGTTCAGTGCATATAGCAGCAGACTCCACCAGCCTCCAGGCAGGCTGTGCTTGTTCATGGGCAGGGGACAAACCAAGCCTGCCCAGTTCGCAGCACCAAACCACCGCTCCCTCTGAATGGACCTTTGGTCCAGGCTCAGGGAGGAAGCATCCCCATCCCAGCATCAGCAAGCACAGGCCGGCAGTCCCCAGGCAGTACCTGAGAGGGTAACAATCCCTTGGGGCTGGGGCTGGAACCGCAGGTACTTGTTGCAGAAGGAGGCCGACTCGAGGGCCAGGAAGAGGACATTGCCCAGGAAGTAGCCAGCCGTCTGGCCCACGGAGTTGCAGGTGGAGGCATAGCCCACATTCTCCCTGGACAACATGGTCAGGGCCCAGCCGTCCACCGCAATGTCCTGCGTCGCCGCCAGAAACTCGAAGAGGAAGAAAGTCACAGTGAGGGCCACCACGTCGGGGCCCCGGCCCTCCCCGTCGCCCAGCAGCACGTCCACCTGGGTGGACATGTAGATCATGAAGAGCCCCAGGACGTACTGCGTAGGCACCAGCCAGGACTTGCGGC